TGATCCTTGAAAAGGACTCTATCAAATCAGGGACATTTTTTGGATCATAGAGAGCCATCGCACGCCCAGATCGGCCCACAAATAGCCCAGAAATATAATATGTAGGTTTGGTGATCTTGGAGTCCTTGCCGAAGGATCAGGGAAATTTTTCTGATCACGGCGGGCCATGGCACGCCTCGATCGGGCCACAAATAAGGCAGAAAACAAGATATATAGATCTGGAGAAAATATCCTTGATCCTTGTTCCTTTATAAGTAGTCCTTCAGATCAAAGATGTAATTCCGCACACAGGAAGTTGTCGCACGTCCCGTTCGGGCCTCAAATAACGGAGAAAAGAACAAAAGTTGTTGTTGTCATTTGTGGTACAACAAACTATTATTGTTGTACAACAACAACCATCAACTTGCGAGCGCTCAAAAGGCAGAAAACGAGAATTTCAAAACTGGGATACCAGGCGAACAGAAATCAGCAGAAGGTCGCTGGTTTTTTAAATTTTTTTTAAATATTTTTTGCTCTTCCGTTTTTCAAACCCCAAAATTATGCAACATCTTTTTTTTAGAAAAAAAACCAGCGACCTTCTGCTGATTTCTGTTCGCCTGGTATCCCAGTTTTGAAATTCTCGTTTTCTGCCTTTTGAGCGCTCGCAAGTTGATGGTTGTTGTTGTACAACAATAATAGTTTGTTGTACCACAAATGACAACAACAACTTTTGTTCTTTTCTCCGTTATTTGAGGCCCGAACGGGACGTGCGACAACTTCCTGTGTGCGGAATTACATCTTTGATCTGAAGGACTACTTATAAAGGAACAAGGATCAAGGATATTTTCTCCAGATCTATATATCTTGTTTTCTGCCTTATTTGTGGCCCGATCGAGGCGTGCCATGGCCCGCCGTGATCAGAAAAATTTCCCTGATCCTTCGGCAAGGACTCCAAGATCACCAAACCTACATATTATATTTCTGGGCTATTTGTGGGCCGATCTGGGCGTGCGATGGCTCTCTATGATCCAAAAAATGTCCCTGATTTGATAGAGTCCTTTTCAAGGATCAAGGACATTTTAGAGAATCAAAAATATTAAATTTTCTCTGCCATTTTTTCCTTAATTCCCCGATATATTTCCCCCAAAACAGAATACAACAAGGATAATTTTTCAATAGTTTTATTCATCATAACTTAGCTTAGTATACATAAATATACAAGTGGAACTAATTTGTATCTACTATCTCAATATACATATGGACGCGTACAGATATCCTTAAAAACTAACAACAACGATATCTATCTAGAGTCTAGTAGCCCGCGTAGCCTTCCCTTGATTGCCTTTGTCAAAGTCCTTGTTGTCGATGGCCAGGTCGAAGGATGAAGATGGCTTGTTTGGTCAGGATCTTGCAGGGGTGCGCTTCTTTCCTGCTGTAATCCTGGGATTGTACTCTGTTTTGTGAGTGGACAGGAATCATGTCCCTGTACGCTGGAGCCAGCGGGGGTTCACGATGTCTGCCGGTGAGGCGCCTGGAGTAGATAGACGTCATCGAGCGCACAATCGCTCTTCTGGACTGGTGATGCCCCTGGTAAACAATGGTGGGCAAATCGGTGACCACGGGCACGCAAAAGGTACTTCTAGCCACCGGAGGGTGCAAGCTGCTAAAATGAAAGGAAGGGATAATAAAAGCAACAGTATTTAAATGATATGAAAATCTTCGGAAGGCTGCAGGACCAACTCTCCCAGGATCGGGAGAATCCAGACTGCCGAACTGTATCAAAATCTCGACTCCGAAAATGGGGCCGATTTTTGGCAATTTTAATGATGTAACCATCATGATTTTTTGCGAAAATCGTGAACAAATGGATGTCCCTTTTTCCGATGGCAGTCGACTGGCAGGACTCTCCCGATCACGAAAAGACATACCGCACTCCGATCGGCTGACGGATAGCGGAAATATAGCCTACGGAAAAACCAGTATTCTAATGAAATGCAAAATCCAAATGTTCTTGAGGCTATATCTCAGACGAATAGGGCCAGATCGGCGCAGGACCAACTCTCCCAGGATCGGGAGAATCCAGACTGCCGAACTGTATCAAAATCTCGACTCCGAAAATGGGGCCGATTTTTGGCAATTTTAATGATGTAACCATCATGATTTTTTGCGAAAATCGTGAAAAAATGGATGTCCCTTTTTCCGACGGCAGTCAACTGGCAGGACTCTCCCGATCACGAAAAGACATGCCGCTCTCCGATCGGCTGACGGATAGCGGAAATATAGCGTGCAGAAAAAACCAGTATTCTAACGAAATGCAAAATCCAAATATTCGGGAGGCTATATCTCAGACGAATAGGGCCGGATCGCTGCAGGACCAACTCTCCCAGGATCGGGAGAATCCAGACTGCCGAACTGTATCAAAATCTCGACTCCGAAAATGGGGCCGATTTATGGAAATTTTAATGATGTAACCATCATGATTTTTTGCGAAAATCGTGAAAAAATAGATGTCCCTTTTTCCGACGGCAGTCGACTGGCAGGACTCTCCCGATCACGAAAAGACATGCCGCTCTCCGATCGGCTGACGGATAGCGGAAATATAGCGTGCAGAAAAAACCAGTATTCTAACGAAATGCAAAATCCAAATCTTCGGAAGGCTTTATCTCAGACGAATAGGGCCAGATCGCTGCAGGACCAACTCTCCCAGGATCGGGAGAATCCAGACTGCCGAACTGTATCAAAATCTGGACTCCGAAAATGGGGCCGATTTTAGGCAAATTTAATGATCATGATCATGATTTTTTGCGAAAATCGTGATAAAATGGATGTGCCTTTTTCCGGTGGCAGTCGATTGGCAGGACTCTCCCGATCACGAAAAGACATGCCGCTCTCCGATCGGCTGACGGATAGCGGAAATATAGCGTGCAGAAAAAACCAGTATTCTAACGAAATGCAAAATCCAAATATTCGGGAGGCTATATCTCAGACAAATACGGCCAGATCGCTGCAGGACCAACTCTCCCAGGATCGGGAGAATCCAGACTGCCGAACTGTATCAAAATCTCGACTCCGAAAATGGGGCCGATTTTTGGCAATTTTAATGATGTAACCATCATGATTTTTTGCGAAAATCGTGAAAAAATGGATGTCCCTTTTTCCGATTGAAATCGACTGGCAGGACTCTCCCGATCACGAAAAGACATGCCGCTCTCCGATCGGCTGACGGATAGCGGAAATATAGCCTACGGAAAAACCAGTATTCTAACGAAATGCAAAATCCAAACCTTCGAAAGGCTTTATCTCAGACGAATAGGGCCAGATCGCTGCAGGACCAACTCTCCCAGGATCGGGAGAATCCAGACTGCCGAACTGTATCAAAATCTGGACTCCGAAAATGGGGCCGATTTTTGGCAATTTTAATGATGTAACCATCATGATTTTTTGCGAAAATCGTGATAAAATGGATGTGCCTTTTTCCGGTGGCAGTCGATTGGCAGGACTCTCCCGATCACGAAAAGACATGCCGCTCTCCGATCGGCTGACGGATAGCGGAAATATAGCGTGCAGAAAAAACCAGTATTCTAACGAAATGCAAAATCCAAATATTCGGGAGGCTATATCTCAGACGAATAGGGCCGGATCGCTGCAGGACCAACTCTCCCAGGATCGGGAGAATCCAGACTGCCGAACTGTATCAAAATCTCGACTCCGAAAATGGGGCCGATTTATGGAAATTTTAATGATGTAACCATCATGATTTTTTGCGAAAATCGTGATAAAATGGATGTGCCTTTTTCCGGTGGCAGTCGATTGGCAGGACTCTCCCGATCACGAAAAGACATGCCGCTCTCCGATCGGCTGACGGATAGCGGAAATATAGCGTGCAGAAAAAACCAGTATTCTAACGAAATGCAAAATCCAAATATTCGGGAGGCTATATCTCAGACGAATAGGGCCGGATCGCTGCAGGACCAACTCTCCCAGGATCGGGAGAATCCAGACTGCCGAACTGTATCAAAATCTCGACTCCGAAAATGGGGCCGATTTTTGGCAATTTTAATGATGGTTACATCATGATTTTTTGCGAAAATCGTGATAAAATGGATGTGCCTTTTTCCGGTGGCAGTCGATTGGCAGGACTCTCCCCATTACGAAAAGACATATGTCTTCAATCAAAATCTCGACTACGAAAATAAGGCCGATTTTTGTAATTTTAATGATGTAACGTGGTGTAACGATCCGGCCGATGGAGAAAAATGATCTGAATATTAATAAAATAAGAATATATACTTACTTAATACTTTTCTCTGTGCGTTACAAACTGCTGCTTAATTATAATATACCCTCTCCAATGGTATAATGATTGTTTGATGATATTTTCCCTCGAGTTTTTCCCCACACAACAATCTGTGTGCACTGCACCATTTTAAGCATGCCCCACCGCACTAGCTGTAACCCCATTAACAGTGCCGCGCTTTGGACATCCCGTGGAGGCTTGATAAAAACTTTGCAGCTAAGGCTTCCATTTGGGAAGCTCCACAGCTCAAAAGACAGTCTTGATTGACACCTGGCCCTGTCCTGGCTTATCTAAGAGCCGCTGGCAACTATAAAAGCGGAGCTTTATTGAGCCGTGCCACAGTTACAGTCGTTGGACGTCCAAATATGTTGAAGCTTTGCTGGTTATACGTGGCCCTTGGCTGTCTGGTTGGTGAGTTATGGATAACTTGGATACGGCTTTGTCTCCGCCTCTGTTTGAGTCTGTTGAGTCTGTCCGAGTTATTACTCGTACACGCACAAAGACGGCAGCAGTGAGTGCGCTTTGATTCAGAATAATTAAAGCGCTCCAGGCCAAGAATTAATTGCTGGAACAGCAACCGGTTTCGAGGATTACTAATGCGTCAGTATGGCCTCATTAAAGAGTTCGCTGCGGCTGGCACTTGGAGAGCTTGGGCCTTGGGTCATCATGGGGAGTTCTCCGAATCGCGACAGATCAGTCGGTGGGCAACGTTTAGCTGGTCAAGATGTCCTCCAATGCGCTGGCCTGCATCTGTAATGTGATCAATCCCTGCCGGAATGAAGTATCCAACACGTTTGTGGTTATCCAGTGGCTCATCACGGGCTTTGCGGCTCTGGCTCAAGTGGTGCGGCCCGTGCTGCTGCTCTGTAAAGTAGTTCATCGACATGACTGGGCTTTTCCTGATTGGTTTTCCACTTCTCTTTTGCAGTTGGCATACGCGGGGAGGTGGCTTTAAGTCAGGAGGACTACAACAAGACCTGGATCTATATGCCAAATGGCGCGGGGAAGCCAGAGGTTGCCTATTTGGTGGAACCACCGCCGGAAAACCGTATCAATCTGCCGCAGCTAATAAAATTTGAGCTGTATGGAAGGTATGTTTCTTCTAAGATTGATTCGAGCTTCGATTTTCAATCTCATATTTTCTGGTCTTTCCAGCGATTCCTCTCTCAGCTCCAGTGCGGACTTCTGGATCGACGACAACAACTTTGAGTTCACGCAGCGACACAAGCGCGATACCTGGCAGGAAATGGCCGAGAAATTCAATCCCGAACTGGACACCAAAATCCTCGTCCACGGCTGGAAGTCCAGTACCATGAGCAACTCCATTCAGTCCATCCGCGGGGCCTACATAGAGCGCGGTCAGGTGAATGTGTTCGCCATCAATTGGCAGGATCAGGCGGACAATATATATTACCTGACTCCAGCTCGGTACACGGTTCAAGTGGGAAGAGCGGTGGCCAAATTGATCGATCTCCTGGTGGAGGAAAAGGACGCTGATCCTCAAAGAATTCACCTCATCGGCCACAGTCTGGGTGCCCACATAATGGGCTATGCGGGATCGTACACGAAGTATAGGGTGAATCGTATTACAGGCCTAGATCCTGCTCGTCCTGCATTCGAGGATTGTATTGGGCCGGAGAATCATCTGGACGACACGGATGCCAACTTTGTGGATGTCATACATAGTTGTGCGGGATATCTGGGCTTCCGCAAGCCCATTGGCATGGTGGACTTTTATCCGAATGGCGGTGGTCCACCGCAACCCGGTTGCAAGGAGCTATCCCAGATTTTCAGTGAGTATGGTTGTTGATTAGTTAGTAACAAACAGATTAGCTATCCCTATAAGTTAGACATTTTCTAGTTCTTTCTATGGAAACTACTTAGTTTTTTTCTTAAGTACAGAACAAGTACTGAGTCATTCAGTTTTGATAAATTCTTAAGACCCTTTAATGTTTCTGAAGGTAACACTGCATAAGCTAGATAGATTTCCAATCAATCTGTATAGATATTTGGATAGATTGTTCATTTCCTCATACATTTTCCCTATCTGAAATATACTTTTCCAGCTGGTTGCAGTCATGGACGCTCCTACGAATATTATGCCGAGTCCATCAACTCCCCAAAGGGTTTCTACGGTGTTCCGTGCTCGGGTCTGGACGAACTTAAGGGCAAGAACTGCACTGGCGGCAAAATCCTAATGGGTGATCCAGTGCCCCGCGATGCTCGAGGCATCTTCTTTGTGAAGACCTCGAACAAGCCGAGCTACGCCCTGGGCATTGACGAGATCTTGAACAACTGATCATCATTTTCTATTTAAAATATCAAAAATTAATATAATATTATTCGAATTAGAATTATTTACAACAAAAAACTTAATCTATGAATACAAAACGAATCCCATTTCAATTGAGGTCGGGTTCTGCGTATTATGCTATAACATCTGTGCGTCGTCGGATGATGTTGCTACTTCTATGGCTGCCGTTGGGCTGGAGCAGATCCTCGGGACGGGGCTCGATCTCGTAGTGCTTATAGCCATCCACATCGTCCAGTTCCTTGGAGGTAAACTTGGCAAGAAGTGTGCCACGACCGGCATACGGGGGGACATACTTAAATGTGGCTGCAGCTGTTCCCCCAACAGGTATCTCGGTAATCTGTTGAAAAAGTTTGTATTAGAAGAGAATACTCAGAAACATGTATTCCCATCCCCACTCACCTTAAACTTCAGTGGCTGCTCTATGCCAGGACCCTCGACGGTGAAGAGCCCCTTGTGCAAGGGTATTGGCAGTGGATTGACCAGGCGCACAATGACATCAATCTCTTTACGGGACACAATGCTGCCCTCACCCATCTGGAACTTGATGTCCGGCTTGCGTACTCGGAAATCATCCTGGGCATAATACTCGTAGTCTGTATCCTTCACTCGCGCAGAGGCGGAGATCTGAAAGGCCGCCTGGGAAGAGAGTTTCTCAAAGTACTCCTCGAAGATGACCTCCATGCGGACGTATTCGCTGGCCTTTGGCTCCAGCTCCAGTTCGAAGCCGATGGACTTAACCTCCATGGCTCCCACGCCCGTGTAAAGCACCGCATCGCAGTTGACTTGACCGGTGGCCAGATGACTCTTTTCCGCACTCTTATTGGTCACCTTTAGGACAACGCTAAAGTTTTCACCGATCTTGATGTCGTCCTTTAGCTCCATATCGAACTCTACCTCGTTGAAGTTGTCGTTAAGGTAGTACCGACTGAAGGCATGCCGTGATTGCTTCAGGGCTTTCAGCATGGTGCTACGCTCCTCCTCGGACCGCTCCGCATGCTTGTAGCTATCCGTGATGTCCTCCCGATCCCACTTGAGGACCGCCTTGGTGCTGATCAGATGTCCAATGGCCAGGGTGTCCTTTCGCAGCAGCTTCAGCGGCTGACTGGGACCGTTGTACCGCCAGTAGAGCTTGTCCGCATTGACCTCCGCAAAGACGAAGCCTCCGTCGAAGGGTCTGAGGATCTCGCCATGCTTCACCGCCAGCACGGAGGCTGGGCCCACACGGTACATGTTGTCCGATGCCTCCTGGGGCGTGGCATCCACAACCTGCCAGCCATCGTAGGCGCCATGCTGGCCCACGCCCAGATCGGGACGCTGCATCCACAGCTCGTTCCACACATGGTAGTTCCAGATGGAGTCGGTGGTCTCCGCGTCCAGCTTCTTGTTGTTGGCATCGATGAAGACGTCCACGGTGAGCGAGGCCTGGGTATCATGAGCAGAAGAGTAACATGTCACGATGCGGGCTGGTATGCCCAGACTGCGGGCAATGGTGGCCAGGACGCCACTGAAGTTCCAGCACTGGGCGAACTTCACGGACTTCTGGGTCTTGTGGAACTGCTGCAAGATCTCCGGGGAGCCCGTCCACTTAGTGGGCGCCACGCCGCCCGAGAAATCTTCCGACCAATTGCCCAGCAGCACACCATCATCATCCACAGAGTTTACCAGCGCGGACAGGGCACGGGCCACCCGCACAGGATCGCCCCTGTAGGCGGGTGGGATCCTGCCCACGGTGCCGAGAACCTTCAGGCTGCATTCGAGAACATGCCGCTCGAACTGGCCAATCTTCCACACCGAGGGACGCAGCCGGTTGTAGGAGCCTCTCCAGATGAGGGTCGTGTCGTGCATCACGTACTCTTTGCGCTGCTCGCGATCCTCCAGATACACTTGATCCTCCGGGCACCACGGATTGAACAGCACGTAGATGGGCAGCGGAACGGGATAGCTGCGGGAGCCATCACCAAGCAGCTTGGTGTCGATATCCAGACGCCACTCTGTCACCGGACAAGTCGAGGGCGGTTTGATCAGCACCGTCAGGAGCGTACCCTCGTGCGTCTCAATTCCAGCTCCCCAGTCCAGGGTGTCGCCCAGATCGTCGATGCCATCGTGGGGCACCAGAGCAGTCAGTGTGCCATGTCCTGGCCTGGGATTCTTGTCATCGGCCACGCTGAAGACAAAGTTGATGGCATCCTTGCTGGGGCTGTAGTCGCGGTTGAAGTGAATGCGCAGGCGGAAGGGTTCTCCGCGGCGCACGATGAGAGCTTCCTTGGCCGCCGCCGCATAGAAGTGGCTTGTGTGGTGCTCGTTGTGGTTATCCTCCTGGCAGAGATCCACTCGAAGCACACCGAGAACCGCCGAATTAGCCGCATCTATATAAATAACAAAATCAGATTAGTCAATTGTCGGCTCTCATTACAATCTGTCAGTGAGGGGTTCTACTCGTAGTTGATCGCTTCTGTCTGGTACAGGCGATGATCTCATAAAGCAAATGGCCTGTCAGCTGGTCTGCCCATGCGATACGATCCCCTTCCTCGCAACATACTCACTGACTAATCGCCTTTGGCCATAAACATAACAAACTTGTGCCACAATGGCCAAAAAGTTCAATGCCAAGCCAATTAATTCTCTCAGTGGACGACAATCAAAGTGACGCCAACGCTAACACACAAAAAACAGCAACAAAAATTGACAAAAAATAGCAGAGAAAAAAGTAGAAAATAGTTCTGCGAAATCTTTTCCAAGAAAGTATGTATCACAAGAGAAGAAATCAATTTTTTCAAAATATGTTGGGCCAAAGAAAATTAGCACTTAGTATATTTTGGCACGTGTTATGTCAATAAAGTAAGCTCGAATACTTTTATAACCGACTATTTCATTGTTAAAAGCCAATTTAGGAACGTTTCAAATCATACTCAATTCATAGACCGAAAGTATTCCTTCAGTTGGTCACTATCTCAATAAAGAAATATTTTTAGCGGAAAGAAGAACATTTTGGTTGAAGCATTCAAGATTTCTGTCAACACAACACAAAAAACTGAAATAAATAATTAGTTTCTGAACTAAGGATTCTTATTTGAGAATAAAAAGTGTATTATTATCTAAGATGTTAAAATAAACGGAAAGAAGCCGATTAAAAGATACGGGTTTTTTTTTGTTCCAATTCACTTTTCTAAAAAAATAATAAATCCTATATAATCGTATTTCTTAATAACCAAATGGGAAGCTTTTCTGTGATCAATGGTTTGGTGGCCAAAGAAAATATTGTTCCCCAAGAGATTATAAATTTTGGCACCTTTAGCCATTAAATGAATCTATAGAGAATATGTATATATTGAATGAATTTCAAACTATAGTGCATCTAATAGATTCCTACTCATTTGGTACTCTGGCTTTGAGGATTAAAATTTAAAATTTTTGCTTTATTTTTTTTTGCTTATTTAAGTAGACAAAAAACTGTTGTTTTTTCCTTATAGAAATCTTGTTTAATGACCAACAGGTTTTAGAGAAACTTCTTCGAAAACAATTTCAATCCAAAGCTTCTTAAATTCAGAAAAAGTGTTTTTATGTCTAAAATCCATTTACAAAGGTTACCAAAATGTATCGAACCATGAAAATGGGTCTTCCCATTCGATTTCCCTTTCCCTGAGCATCAAAAGATATTTTCCCATTGTCCAATCGTGTCCCATAAAATCTAAGCACATTAGCCAAGAGCATGATCAAAAAGGCATAATTTTTTGTTGTTTTTATTGAGAATTATCTTGCAGCTATGATACGTGGCTGACAGATGCCTCGCTGTTCCACATGGCTGCCCTGCCACCCCACCTTTTTGTGTAGTTTACTTTACTGTTCAATCAAGGGGAGCAAACAATTGAATCGTTTTAGTTGAACTTTTGATTGGAATTTCGACATTGATAAGTAATGTAATCAACTCAAATATTTGATATGTATATACGTATATAATAGCACTGAAATATGCATATTTGTATGTACGAGTATATGTGTGTTAATAAATTACGCGAAATAGCAAAAACCTCCCGAACGTGTCAAACAACCCATACAAATATTCAGAACGGAAACAAAAACACACAAAAGTGAAGTCATAGACCGAAAAAAAAACAATCAAACAAAAGCAAAATTAAATAATATTCCAAAGATTCGAAAATATTTCTGGTAGTTCCCCACAACAAGTGTAACATAACACGCTATTCGTTAATTTATGTTTTTTCTTTGATGGTTCTTAGGGGGATGGACATTTACTTTCAATATCCGGACCAGGACGTGTGCTGCGGAAGGGATTCACTCGTCGGGGCGGGGACTGTGGCCACCAGCGCTGGATCCAGCTGGGGGTATAATTCCGATAGTTCCAGTAGCTCATTTTCACTGCTGTCTAGCACGACTCGGCTTAGGGAAATTAAAGCCTTGGGGCACGACTATTTATGTGCTACGGTTTACACAAGCAGCAACAGTAACCGTAATAGCTATAATAACACAGCAAGCCTAACGGAAACGCTTCAAAGTCTCGTCTCGAATGGGTCTTTCTGTTCTTTGTCCCGTATATCGAAGTGTACGCCGCAACGCTTTAAACTAAACTGATCACTCTCTGCTCTGCCCATCAGTAAACCGCTTGGGCCAGATAGTTGCCTCGCCTTCAATGCGTGTGGTTCGCTCTCAGACATCTCTCTATATGGGCTCTCCATGTCTCTGGATCTCTCTCGGATTGGTAGTCTGTCATTAATAATTATTTACGGGAAGCAGCGCTTGAGGGCAGCTTCTAGCCGACCCGTTGGTAAGACGGCGAAGAAGCTGTTTCAGGCACTACGTCATCGTTCATGGGCAGCCAACATCTTGATTGGAAACCGCCTCAAAAGAGCAAAAAGAGCAAACTGATTGTTATGCACGGTACTAGTGGGAGTCAAGGGCATATTGTATTCGTGGGTAGAGATGTAACAGGCAGAAGGAATCGCCTGTAGGAGACCTCTTGAGGAGTTGCTACTACTACTATAGAACGGCAGTTACAATTTGCTAGCTATAAAAGGTTTAAAGAAAATGAAGTCTTTCTTGATATAGTTCTAGTTTGTTTTTGATAATTTCCTAAAATGTATAACATTTTAATTAGATCGTACTCTACATTGCGCACAAAAATGGTATCCCTAGGTCGGAACGTCCCTTATAAACTAGTTTTTCTTAGGAATTTCTCAATGCTCATCATTAATTTGCATTCGCAATTTAAGCTGTGATCTTATTAATCATTTCATTGGCTATTTGTGAGTAATAATTGTATAAATATCGAACATTTCGGGGATAGAACTGCTGTGCAAGATCATTGTCAGCTGGCAGGTGTGTTTTTGCTTTGTTTGTTTTTATACAATTTTCGAAAATTGCACCTATAAAATGAATAATTCGAGTGGCTGTTGGCTGTTGTTCGATCTAGACAAGGTACAAGTTGGTGGGCAGCTAACTACGAATTCTGATACACCCACGGCAGCAATTTGCATACATAAAAGGCGATATCAATAGAAGCGAATGCATGATTGCTGGTACGAGTATTGCACAACAAAATAAATCAATTTGAATAGAGTTAGTCAACAACAATAGCAAAGATCAAATCAAATGGGGACAGAGAGCCCCAGGCTTGGAGAAATCTTAAAGAGAGGGATAGATTTGTACAGACATGCTTCATATTTGTAGAGTAGAAAACCTCAATCAGACATATTTACTTCCTCCCTTAGTCGTTATCCTGATTGCCACTCACCCGTTGTATCTCGACCGGGAGCTCCTGCCAAGTAGTTGGCATTGACATTGCGTACACGAGGCTTGGTCTCCTCCTGATCACTCTTCTTCCACCAATCCTTACACTTTTTGCAGTACGACAGTTTCTGTCCCATACTTAGGATCTTAACAATTCCGAAACTTTGACCGAGGGAGGGCGTAGTCAAGCTCCGAGTAGATAAATATATTGGCAAACCGGTTCGCCCGTCAATTGATAAGCCTTTGCTTTGGTGTGGATTTGCCCGATGAACTTATAGGTGCGGTATTTGAACTTCAATGCCTCACTGGAGACATCCGACGTGTGCGACTACTGTCCACAATTAGCTGGCATTTTATTTTTTGGTTAAAATGCAATGGAATGCAAAGTCGAGACAATTTAAACTGTAACAGCTGTGATCACGTCATCATCGAAAGCTTCGATTGAACTGGAACGCGCCAACGTTCGACGGCGACTGTTTAGGCACCCCGTTCCGATCTGGCATCTTCGCTCAACAGTTTTTACATATGTATGGTATGCCATGCCTGACCCCAGTGTCAGCTAGTGGACGGCCTCGGGTGTCCAAAAACCAGACATGCGTGTGTAAATTGATCGGCTCTTAATGGAAACATCTCTGAGCAGATCGTAATTGTGTCATGATTGACTATGATTTCTAGATGGTGTTGCTGCTGTTCTTGGGCAGCTAATTGCTTCGGTGTAAAGATGACGTGAGGTGTGGCTGTCTGGACAGAATCTTGACAGCTTTATCGAAGCCATCTATTGAAGGCAATAGCTGCTATGGCGGATGCAGTCGTTTGGGAAGCTTGACAACCGGCTCTTCCATGCTTTCTTCAAGTCGTTCCAAGAAACTATAGAAGCTGACAGCTCTTCTTGAACTGTCGTCAGACATCTGCAAAACAGAATTTACCATTTAAAGAATGATTAATTGTAGAACCTTCACACTCACCCCGTAGTTCGCAAGTCTATTTTGAGCTCAGACTGTTTCCGGTCGTTTATTCCAGATAGGATAGTTATCATCCATCTTCGAAAAAAAATTTACAAAAATATTCGAAAAGAAATTGTCTTATGTACAAAAAAAATTACAAATATAAACAAATCAACAAACAGCTGATCGCCGGCGATAGATATTCGATTGGTGGCAACGCAAATATGAGTAAAGCTGCTATCGCATTTCAATAAAACTATCGTAAGAGAAGCATGAAGAGAATTTTGAATTTAAGAGAAAAACTATATATTCAAGAGAACAAACACGCTAAATTTACTCTCATTTTTATACCCTTGCAGAGGGTATATAGCACAAAAGGAAGCATCTTATCTCCGTCCCCAGATCGAAACCGTTCGAACCGCGCGCCGACTCTCACTCTCGTCACAACTTTTGCTGTGTAAGTGCGATAAGCATTTAGGCTTTCAGTTTCAGTTCAATATTTGATGCAGTTTCAGCTGTATATCTGATGGATTCCAAGTTGACAGAGATCCCTCGTGATCAGTGGAAAATTTTGAGGGATTTGTATGCCGGCGATCGCACAAATCTCACCGGCTATGACCTAATAGAATACTTTATAAACTGGACACCAATCGATAGTGATGAAACGATCAAGATCTATACGACCGATCTTGATTTTCCGGACCATGGCAGATATATTTTAATTGTTGTTTTTTAAGATTGATCAGATATGAGCCCAAAACTAATATAAATATTTTGCTGATAGCATACTGTGGCCAAGAAGGCGTATGTCTACTTGAATACTGTGAAAGAATCTCTGGAGGAACTGCAATCCGCGCTGTGCTCTTTGAATCTACAAACTTGGCATTTGATCTGTGGCTATGACGAACGGCTAAAGCCCATTGTTGAGCATTATTGGGCAGCAAGGGGACACCAATGTAAACTGGTACATCAGGGCACTCTTGTCTACCATTTGCCCAAATCCGAAATCAAGAAATTTCCTCGAACGTAAGACTGTAAGACCTGTCCATGAAATCTTAACTAATTACCCAATCTTTTAGAGATACTCCCTCATTTTATTGCCGTAGGCTTGAGCCCATCGAGGCCGGAGTGGTGGATAAGCACTGGCCCTATCGCTCTGCTGATTCTCTGGAACTGATAACAGGGTTCATCAAGAACAATATTAGTGCCGGCTTCTATGAGACTGGAAGTCTGCATGGCTGGTGCCTCAGGTGGGACCAGAAAGGGATTTTGGGACTTACTCTTATACTGTCATTCCTCCACAGATCTCCCCATGGGAGCATGAGCAACCTGCATGTCTTACCCGAGTACAGACGTACGGGAGTGGGTTCCATGATAGTTCGTTTCATCGCCGAATTAATTGCCGCCTCGGGATCTGAAGTTCTGGCCACGGTTGTTCCTGAGAATGAGAAATCAAGAAAAATGTTTGAGAAACTTGGCTTTCACGTCATCAATGCATTGTATTGGTCGGTAATGCCAGAATCCCAGATGCAGACAGATGAATAACATTGGATTAGATTGAAATACATATCTGACAAGAAATTGTCATAAATGTCTTGTAATTTAACAACCATCGTCGCATAAAACATTTAATTTTAGTTCAAAGTTTATAATTCCATAATTCACTGCTGCATTCAAACTGCATTTCCTTTGTTTCTACCTACTGTAAGAAAGAAAATTCAGCAAACACCAACTGTTTCTTATCTGTATCTACGAGTTACTCTCTTATATTACATTGCATATTGCTCTGAGCTCTAGATTATGGGGTGTTTCGTGCTCTTTGCATTGAATTTTAGTTTTCTATTGTTCATTCGGTTTTCAGCTATCATTCAGGTCGGTACCACGTCGGAAATGGATTCACTGGTTGAGATACCACGCGGCGATTGGATAAAGCTGCGAGATCTATATGCCGACCGAGATACGGATCCACATGGTTACATGTGCATTAATAACTATATAAATTGGGTGCAGAAAGAACCAGAACTGCCAGTCAGAGTATTATCGCTAAATGGGGAGTGGAAACAAGAGGGAACATTCCTAATAGCCGTGAGTACCAGTGTTGTATGCAATTGAGAGAACTTTTATAAGAGAATCTATCCGAATTAAGGTCGATATGGGACTTAATCTTCAGCATCTCTACTTCAATACATTGAGCGATGATCTGAGCCCAGTGACGAAGGCAATTGAATGCTTGAAGTCCTCAAATGATGAGTACCTGTTCTTTGGCTTTAGTTCTCGCTTTGAGCCTTTGGTCAGGAATTTTGGGAAGACATGTCTCCCCAAAGAACTCGGTATTGTGGACGCCGTTTGGTATTTTGCCAGCAAGGAACTTGTATCCACATTCACCATCGAGTAAGTATAAATTTTCCAATGTTCTTGACCCCCATCTCATTGTGGTATCTTCTAGAGTCCCAAATGGCATCAGACTGAACAATTTGAGTGTTAAAGATGCCGAAACGGTCAACGAAATCTGGCCACATCGTGCTCATGATTCCGTGAAATTTGTCCGACGGCTGATTCGATATAATGAAAATGTTGGCGCCTATGATGAGACTGGAAAATTGGTGGCCTGGTGCCTGAGGTGAGACAATTCGATTGATTCCTAGTGCGATCCATAAATTACTCCCTCTTCTCACCCGATAGATTGCCAATTGGTGCCTTGGGTCTGCTCCAAGTTCTAGAATCGCATAAGCGCCTGGGCCTGGGCAGCCTCATGGTTCGCGCTCTGTCGAAAAAGATCAATGATTTGGGCGAATCAGTCGTAGCTCCGGTGGTAACACAAAATTCAGCCTCCCGCGGAATGTTTGAGAAAATCGGTTTCCAACCGATTGATAAAGTCTATTGGGCCGAATAAACAGATCAATAGATAAGGAAAATAAAAGACCCTAATCAAACATCTCTTATCTCAAACTTGAATTATCAATTATAATATAATCTAATAGCTAATAAATGCGAAGTCCGCCTATGCCTTGGGTGTTCTATTTCTTTTCCGTTTGGTTATTGAACTTGAAGAACTTCTAGAAAACAGAAGATAAGATGACAGGCGGGCTGTATTCCGAGGCATAGAAACAGCATACGATGGCAGTTTGATTGGGTTAATTGATATATTGTTTATGTCTAAGTTTATAAACAAAAATATAATTGCTTTTCCTGGGGTTTTCCTAGGGGAAGAGATGGTTTGGATTATACAAGTGACTCATTCAATCATTGGATTCATCTGATTAGTCATCACTAAAATGTAATTTAAATTACAGTTTTTTTCAACTTTTGTTTTACTTTTCAAAAATAAAAAATTGGTTTACAAAGCGATAATCACCTTCGCGTGACCAAAGTTAATTCAATCTTCGTTTGTTTGTCAATTGTCAGTGTTTCCTCCAAAGCTTGCCCGACGAGAATGATTTCATGGTGTTGAAGATTAATGGTGACAAAAATTAATACAAAATATTCGGCGATTTCTAAATGCAGTGCAATTGCACCAAATTGAATGCAGTATGTCAAAGACATTTTTACAAACAAATGCAATTTTCGTAATAAATAAACAACATTTGATACATCATTTGGCTATTTAAGGTAGAACGTACATTCAGACCAGCTCTGGAGGTCCCGAACTTGGAATATTGTATGATCTTAAAATGTGTCGGAAATGTGCTAAGGTCGGAGTGCTTCCCGCTCTTCTCTACTAAAGCCTAATGGTCATGTTAATCCGCGTTTTTTTGTTAGAAGCGGCTTTTACCTGCATCATCGCTTCAACGGATTTCCATATCATTCTTCTGCCAAAATGGGGAAACCCCTAACATTATCACAAAGGGCCTTGTTAGAGCTCCACAAAAGCGCAAACTTTCCAGTGACGGGGTCTGAGAATACGCATCTAACATAAATCATACAATATATGTAGCTTATAAATATTTAAAATATTTACTCTACCTCTTTGTGTATTTGGCGGGAGAGATATAAAGAGAGAGCACATTAGTATGCACGTCACATGAGGTCGGGAGAGATAGAGAGAGAGCTTCAATGGATTTCCGCTACTGGTTTCGCAGAAAAATGAGGGAGGCACCGGCATGCCGCGCTGTGTCTCATCCGTACAACCCAGAAAGTACCGATCATACCGATTGGAATCAATAACAAGTGCAGACAACCCCCTCTCGGGGGCATCAATGTAAACAGAGTCCGATCGGGGTATAACCCAGACCAGATGGTATGGGTATGAGTCGACGGCCAAACAAACGCTAGCGAGAAAATTACAGGGCCAGAAAGAGAGAGAGAGAGAGAGAGAGAGAGAGCTCGGCTTGAAGGAGCTGCTCGGTGTGTACGTACAACAGTTCGTATTAAACCTGATAACGAGTTTCCGATTCAAGTTTTATAACGATTCGCGCTGAGCGGTGGCAGTTTAGTCTGTCGCCTGGTGTTAGCAACGCAGCTGCCTCGATCGCGTTCGAATTCTAAGCTCGCGTACTCACACTCATACTAAACATATATACTATATATAGCAAATATATATAGGTATATCTGTGTGCTCATCTACGGATTCACTGATCCGATAAGATTCGAAATTACTCGTATTATTACTCGTACAATATGTGGCGCCTACTGTTCGCTTTACTGGTGATGATGAGTGTGGTCCGATCAGAGACAGATCTGTGGCGATCCGATCTCCGCACTCCCGAGACCCAGGCCTACATCATGCGGCTCCAGCAAGAGAACGCGCAACAGCAGCAAGACAGCCAACAGCCATCACAGCCCGAGTTCCAGTTCCAGCCCATACAGGAATCAGCACCTCTGCTATCGCCCGGCCTTGTCAGTGGCCTTCCCAACAAGAACGTGAACAGTCGGATAGGGTCAACAACTGGGAGTGCTGGCAGCTCTGCTTGGGGTGGCGGTGGTGCTTCTTCCGGCTCCGCTTCCGGCTCATCCTACGTGGACGTTGCCAGCTCGGATCAGATAGCTCGCAGTGTGTTGAACTTCGCCCAGAATCTGGCGAATCAACTGAGCGGTAGATATCGCAAGACAGAGGTATTCTCGCCTCTCAGCATTGTCTCTTCGCTGGCTCTGCTACTGCTCGGCGCCAAGGGACGCAGCTACCAGGAGCTGTCGTCTGTGTTCGGCACGTCGGATACAATCAAATTTCACGAGCAATTCGGCCTGATGCTCCAGGATGTGCGGCAACCCAACCTCGAGATGGTGTCCTCCGGCCGCCCACTCGTCCCGTGGCGGACAAGTAATGGCCAGCGCACGTACCGACGATATCTGCGACCTGCACCCCACGAGGTGCATCTGGCCAACGGACTTTTCACCCAGACGGGCTACACGCTCAATGCCGGCTACAGGTGAGTTTAATTAACGATAAACTGGATCTGAGCTGAGCTCAGGTTGGAGATGGGAAATGCCAGACTATTAGTGGCTGCCTTGAGCTGCTTCGGACGGGATGGCCCCATCGGATCGGATCGTTGGGAAGTGATCGAGCAGCGATCTGGAATATCAAGAATGATTCAACGGCGAATCATGTAAAGTAAGATTGGGATTGTTTGATTGGGAGATCACTTATCTGTGCCATTTCAATGCAAAGAAATGTGCAAGATCGAATCCAATACAGATTGACTTGAGAGAAAAATGTTGTTTAGCAAGCAGTCTATGATTAACACTTTTCAAGAATGGAAAGACTTTCTCGCATATATTCTATATATGCATGCAAATTTCACGTATACTCACATATGGATTAAATTAACGAATTATCAGCAAAGCGTGATCAATTATAAACTTTAAATAGCATGGGAAAAGCAATCTGATGAAATGTATAGCATAGTAGGAAAATCCCTAGCAACTCCATACAATGAGGTTCTCCCTCCGTGAATTACCATAAACTTTAATGATCTACAGCGCCAATCTGTTAGTTTCAGTGAACCATTTTAAAGTGTTTCTTTATTGCATTGACTACAATTCTCCTATTCTGTCCATCCCGAGAACCAGCTGTTACAACTTATCTTCCAAATGATCTTGCACTAATTCGTTAGCTAATGTTGATTTTTCACTCATGTGCTGTATTTTATTTGCATTTGCAGTCAAGTGATCCGTGAAATATATGGATCGGATCTGGAGACGCAGGATTTTGAAGCGAGTCCGGCTAAGGCGCGTTACAACATCAACAGCTGGGTGGCGCAACACACGCGAAACCATATTGACAGCATCATATCAAGCGATATACCGCAGAGTACTCGAATGATTCTGGCCAATGCCCTGTACTTCAAGGGCTTCTGGGAGACGGACTTCATCGAGTCAGCCACCAAGCCGGACAGTTTCTATCCGAATGGCGAGGGCACACAACCGGTGCTGAGTGTCCCGATGATGGCTACGGGGGGCAGTTTTCCCTACCACGAGGATCATCAGCTGGGCTGCAAGATCCTTGGCCTGCCCTATCGCGGCAACCTGAGCACCATGTATATCATCCAGCCCTTCAAGTCGTCGGTGGACAAGTTGAATATGCTCCAGCAGAGACTGAACGCAGACGTGATCGAGGACCTGATCAGCAGGATGGTTCGCCGGTCTGCCGTGATGGCCTTTCCCAAGATGCACATTACAGAGTCCGTCAGCCTGAAGACCATGCTCCAGCACATGGGTATCGGCGGCATCTTCAGTACAGTCCAAAACGATCTATCCCTGATTGCCACAAATGAGGCGCAATCTGCGGCGGGTGGTCACTCGGCCTCCTCAGATCGACTGAGCAATAGTCTGGGGGGCAACGCCTTACATAATCTGGAGGCCCAACGGAGTGCATCTCCAGCGGCACGCTCCGATCTAGTGGTGGATGACATTGTCCACAAGGTTGACTTCACCGTCAACGAACAGGGCACGGAGGCAGCGGCGGCCACGGTCACGTATGTGAAGAAATCCGGACCCGATGTACTCTTCCGGGGCGACACACCATTCATTGTCTTGGTGCGCCATGATCCAACCAAGCTTATCCTGTTCTATGGGATCATCAATGAACCGCCAACGGCTAATTAGGTTTCGTTTCGAATGTCTAGGAATTAGTATGTAAGATCGTTGACTTTTTAGTTAGGCATTTAAGAAGCAATTTAATATGATAATAAACTAAGTGAAATAGTGTACAAAAAACCGATGGTTCTTTCTTCTTTTCTGAGTTTGAGTTTGGAATTTTATTTCAAATTCGAATTTATACCGCCAAATTTCGGGTTTGCTCCAGTCGATATTTATATCGATATGGCGCTGCACATTTGAGTCACAACCAGGGTGACCATTTACGGTATTTTTGATACTTTTCGGTATTTTTTTAAGGTTAAGTTTGAACCGGCGGTATATTTTTTAAAGGAGACGGTATATTTTAGTATATTTCTGAGGGTCGGCCAGTAAATTTTAACGATAAATCCGCGGTTACACTGGTCAAAACAGCTGACTTGTTGGCTTTGTTTTGGATTTGTTTTTTTCGAATTTCCAGGCTTAGAACGTGCAAAATGATGTCCTTACCGGATACAGACAGTGAGGATGAGCTGCCCCCCGGCTGGGAAGAGCGCGCCACAGACGACGGCACCGTCTGCTATGTGAAGTATAAAGGTCAAGCTCAATCGCAAAACGTAGCTGATAAATGGATTTTTATCTCTTCAGCCAGCAAAACAAAACCTCTCAGTGGACACATCCAAGAACTGGCCGGTCCAAACGCATTACTGGGGAACTGCCGATTGGCTGGGAAAAGTACTATGACGAGCAGCTCAAGAAATTTATATTCCTGAACAAAGAAACCCAGCAGCGTAGCAATGTGGATCCCCGACTAGCCTTCGCTGTGGAAGAGCCCACTCAGAATGTGGCTCAGGTCCGGCAGAGATTTGATTCCTGCAGCACAGCACTACAGGTGCTCCATGGCAAGGATCTGCATGGACGAATTGCTCTGATAACCGGAGCGAATTGCGGCATTGGCTTTGAGACTGCTCGCTCTCTGACTCAACATGGCTGTGAGATCATATTCGCCTGTCGTAGTCGGGCCAGCGCAGAAGCTGCCATTGACCGGATTGCCCAGGAGCGACCCTCGGCTCGGGCCCGCTGCCGTTTTGTGGCCCTCGATTTGAGTTCGTTGCGTGCTGTCCAGCAGTTTGTGCGGGAGATCAAGGAGAGTGTGAAGTGAGTGCCTACCAATTAGGTTTACTAGTATACAAAATATACAAATTCATGTATTTTCCAGCCACATTGATTACCTCTTCTTAAACGCGGGCGTTTTCGCCTTACCCTATTCGACGACCGTGGATGGTCTGGAGACCACATTCCAAGTATCGCATCTGTCCCATTTCTACTTGACTATGCAACTGGAGACGTTGTTTGATTACAAGACGAGGATTGTGGTTCTGTCATCTGAGTCGCACAGGTATTTATTTATTTGAAATATGATGCGGGGTTTTGTTAGTTAATAGAACAATTGTCAGACTGTTGATATACGATAAGGCCTCAAATGCAAACTAAACAATTGATATGAAAAGAATGCAGAAAACTGCATTTTCATTGATAAGGTGAAGTTTCCTTTAAGGTGAATCTATATCTGAATTATCAAGTTTGAAAGAAAGCCGAAATTGATACCATCTTACCATTAACAATAGGTAGTCCACTCCCTTTCAAAACTTCTTTCAGAATACATTTGTATGTATTTTACGTTGTAGTGTCATGTTGAACTGGGATCACTTGCGTTGCCTCCAGTGTAAATCCCATTCAAGTTCCATATTTTCCTTTTGTGCGGCAAGCATTTGACACTTTTGCAACCGGTATTCGTAGAGTATGAGGTATATTCATCATGGTCTTTGCAACAGGAACTGAAGGCAGCGTTTTGCGATCCCCCATACCCACAATCGATCTAGTGGCGAATCTTATCAATGACCAAAGTCTGTTGTATTTGGTTTTTGGGTCAGCGTCAGTTAATCACTGCTAATCGCTCGTTTTATCTGCACAGTCCAAAATATGTAGACCAGACTGCATTTTTGGTTTATTTTGAAACATGTTTCTGAAAATAGATCCCATATGGGGGCTATAAAACGGAAGGACTCGAGAGAAATCTAAATATTTGGCATTTGAAAAGTTCTTCAGAATACATAGGTTTGATCGGTGTTATAAATCTCAGAGATCTTACTAGAGTAGCGAGGTATTTGGTGGTCGTCACCATCGCTTATGGCGCTCCTACATGTCTTCATTTATTTATTTTATTTGCGAGTTGATTGCACTTTTATGCCCCTCCGCAATGTGGACTTTGGACCCGACCGGTTTCTTTTCGCTTTGGGGCCAAACTATTCATAGTGCGAGCCAAAAATAAATAATTTCGCCTGCATACTAATTTCGCAGCTATGCCATGTAGGCTAGTGTAGGTTTCCAAAAAATCTTTAATCTTGTGGCGTCACTCCAGCTGCTTCGACTCTTTTGTGTTTGTCTACGATTGAAGCTCTGTTTGGTCTCGTTTCAAGGCGAAACGCAATTGAACTTCGATCTACCATCCAACGGCGATCCAGAGCTGCGCACAATTCGTATTCGTAATTTCAGATAAACCAGAATCAACCACTCTGCTATCAAAAAAAACAACGCCACAGCTTTGATTACATTATCGAAACCCCACATGTAGAGGCAGGGCGCAACCCTCACGTGCAGATGTAAGCACAGTGGAATGTAGTATGGACATACATACATATATTGAATACAGAGGGTCGTAAAGAAATGCTAAAGAAAAAATCCATTAATTTTGAGTAAGACATTCAAATGGACATCTCTCAGGGAAATATCACTTTTAGAGATAGGCAGCTATTGATGCTGTGAAATGGACTAGGAAAAATCGGAACACTCTATAGAACTTCCTTAGAAAATCTCAACAGTTGGGTCAATTTGGAAATTAATATCCACCATTAAAAGGGATCTACCACATAATCCTACTGGCCGGTATAAAAAATATATCAAACGGATATAAGTAATTATAGTCAAACTTCTTAACCGTTAACATCCCCAAGTCGAGTTTATAAGAAAACCTGTAGGATTCCAATTCTGTGAAATGTCTTTCATAACCAGAACATCATATATAACTCTTTCATAAGAGAATTTCATGAGAAATAAAGATCAGTTGATATAGTCGATGGGTTCAGTTAAGTCATAGCACTTTTACTGCACCTTAATAGGAACTTAGTTTCCATCATCTCTTGATCCACTGTGCCCAGTGTCACACATATAAAAATGATGGAAGACTCGCGTGAATCGAGTGGAGGAAGCACAAAACGCAATTGAATGGAGAGGGGAGTTTGTTACGAGTATTGGAGGTGGTTTCTTTTTTTCTGCCGCTGCTGCTGCCTCTGCGGCTGCCTCTGCTGCTGTGCGCGTTGCTCTGCTCACGTACTACATTTTTGGCTTCTCGTTTCGAGTATGTATCTTTCCAGTCCGGGTCTGGCGTGCAACAAAAAGTCGCGTGCGCCATGCGGTGTACTTGCTGATAGTCATGTATGCCACAAAATGTTCGGCCAAGATTTGATGAATTATACCCAGTTCCTATTGGGGTCAAAAGCGAAGCAAATGGGTGCTAACTGATAAACATTTTCGAATCATTTTGAAGGCAAACAACACTCCATAATGATTGAAGATCCCTGTGAAATGAACAGATTTTTTTGTTTGCACAATTGAAAAGATTTTCACATCATTATGCAGAAATCTTTAATGCATTTAGCTAATGCAATTACTATTTGTTATTAATTGCTCAAATGAATGCTAAGCTGGAGCCCCTCGTTGCACGTCTGCTCAAATATGATCCACTCCGTACAAGTACAAGTGCCATAAACAACACGTATGCTCGTTTCGGCCTGTACCTACCGCAACACAAGCACAAACCAACAACAACAAATAACTCCCACAAACCCGAACAACAGCCAGCCCAACAGCAAGTTCCATTTATCTAGAAAGCAGCAAATGTATGCATAAATAAATACAAATTTGCATAGATTTTTGCGACGTTATTTTTACATTGACCGTTCTGTTCTGTTTCGTTCTGTGGGCTGTGGCCCCAAGCCGAGAGCGCTGGTCGGGCATTTGAAAAATGAAAACAAATCCAAAGTCCAGAATGTGCGCGAATCAAACTTTCATGTTGGAGGCGGCTCTATGCGCCCTGAGCATGCGCTACACGAAAAGGAGCTCCCTCTCCATTGATGAAGCCCCTCTGAACAGACTCTCAGAAGACACTTCCGACAGTCCTTGTGGGACACAGTTTAATGTCTGGGCTTTGTTTCACTAGCCACTTGTTGTAGCCCATTGTTGGGTTCAGTCATGATAAATATATGTACATATGTGTGTACGTAGGAGAGGGCTTAGTCATTGTCAATGACCTGTACTTTGTGGCTGTTCTGTTTGTTGATTCTGACTTGATGCATCTCATTAATAACGAGCGTTAAGCGCCGGCAGTACACAAGAACAACGACAATGCCAATCAAGACTCGTTTGGCGATTGGCGTTGACGGGGGACAAAGTCCACTGGGTTCGGCTGGATGAATAATATATGCTGATCCATACGTACTAACTCAAATTGGAAGAACTGGGCTAACCAGCAAATGCGTCTTAAAAATGAACAATCCTTTCTTTTCCATCGCTTGTATTCAGGTTCGCCAATCTGCCTGTGGACAACCTGGCCATTCATCATGTATCCCCACCGGCGGAGAAATACTGGAGCATGATGGCCTACAACAATGCAAAGCTGTGCAACGTACTTTTCGCCCAGGAGCTGGCTCAAGTGAGTCCAGACCAAATTTGGCACCAAGAATTAGGTCACTAATTGAACTCTTATCCTCTGTACCTACCTGAAGCGCTGGAAGCAACGCGGAATCTCTGTGTTCTCCGTGCATCCTGGGAATATGGTCTCCACGGAATTGTCGCGTAATTATTGGTTCTATCGATGGCTGTTTGCCATCGTCAGACCCTTTACCAAGTCCCTGGTGAGAAAAAGAGACACGCATTTAATTTAATTGACTATCACTTATAAGAGTACTCTCTCTGACAGCAACAAGCTGCTGCCACCAGCATCTACTGTGCCACAGCCAACGAGCTGACAGGATTGTCGGGACTATACTTTAACAACTGCTACTTCTGTGAGCCCAGCAAGCTCTCCAAGAGTGCTGCACTGCAGCAGCAACTGTGGCACCTCAGCGAGCACCTAGTCTCCGAACTGCTGGAGGACCATTAAATTACACCAAACAAATGTTGTGTTCTTTGTAAAATTTTTATATTTATACTTTATATACTAAACCATAATATTAAGCGTCGAGTATACGTGATTTACTTTGTTTCTTAATTGTAATTTTTAAATAACAGCCTAAGTGCTAGCTAAAGGAACTTTTGGGGGGACTAGAAATCGGAGACGCGACCCTTGCGCTCCCAATCGCCATAGCGTGTTGGCTCCGGACCGGCGGGACCGCCGACCTCGCCTGTGTAAGGATTCGTCTGATTGGGCCACTGCTTTAGGGGCTCCTTCTCCTGGTAGGGATGGCGAGAGAACTCGTCTAATTTCCCCAGCGGCGTCTTGGCACGCAGCTTCTTCTGGAAGGCCATCAGCTTCTCGGTCCGTGTCTTCGGCTCGGAGACATCAACGACCAAATCGTTGCCACCAACTGTTGCACGCCAGGCGCTGCTCGTCGACAGGTAGCTCACTAGTTTGGTAAATGGAGATGATTATTTTCGGCTAACACTCGCGGAGGATTAGACACACACCTTGCTTGCCCACCTGCGGCAGGGCGCGCATGGATTGTTTGGCCATGGATTGCATGTTGATTCTGTTCAGTTGCTCTTGTTATGCAAGAAATGCCGGCAATTCTCTCGACTTTAACTATTTTTACGGAACTTTTATCTCACACAGCTGTTTGTGTTGTGTGTTGTCACTCGGGTGTGCGCGTTTGTTTTTGCGATGCTCTCGGATGTGGCGGTTGGCTTTTATAGTCGCTGCCTCGGCTTGTTTTTATTTTTTTTATTATTATTTTGCGCGCCCGTCAGTGTGACCGCGGATTTAACGATATACGGTCTGATCCCCAGAAAAATACCAAAATATACCGTAAATATACTGACGAAATCATGTTCTAATATACATATTCCTCGATTTTGATATTCCGTTGAATATTGCTGGCTAACTAGAACCCTTAGCTCTGCCCACATAATTTAAGGTCATTGATGAATACATTTTCTATATGACTGAATTATTTTAGGGACTCCCTTTTTTTGATTGTGTCTAAAATTCGGCTTAAACAAAAAAGATCAAGAAGCTCGCCGCCGTCAAATACTGTAGAGGCAGTGTTACCCATAAGTGACCCCCATACGCACTCTATTGGAGTGATTTGGAACTACGGGTACGAACTCGTCTGGTCTGGCAGCACACCAACTGCGACCAAGACGCACTCTATTGCCATGATCTGGAGCTATGGGTACGAACTCGTCTGGTCTGGCAGCACGTCAACTGTGACAAAAAATCGAAATCGACGCAGGAAAAATGGAATTTTCAAACTAATTTAATTCATGTTTTAATAAAAAAGATTTATCAATTAACATAATCGTATCATTGGACAAAAAACCGTTCCGTGATTTCTGTAATACTTTTACAGATTTGTATACAACTTAGTGAACACATGGTTGTTTATCTGTTATTTTTAGGAATAAAATGTATTCGACATAAATTTTAAAAGTTGCCCATTTATGTACAGCGGCAATGGTGTATGTGGAATTCATCATAATACCCCAATTGGTATCGAACACACACCCAGAACTTGTTCGGGTTACAAGTAAGCCCAGACAGTAGTTGTTCTTTTGCAGTTGCGGGAACCATTCAAGTGTGTCCAAGACATAATATTGGGGCAACATAATTGGCATATGGAAGGGGAATTCCTATGCCTGTACATGCTCGTCATATGACCCTGCTTTAGGCGCTGTGGCATGAAATTCGCTGCGCTTCAATCAGTTTCGAGCTTGCGATCGTCTTAAGTGCATTGGAAAGAAATGTTTCAAAAAAACTAGTGCGCCAAAACGTATGAAGAATATGTGAAATATTCTGTGCAAATGCTCCACACAGTGATTTAGATTTTGTGTGGATTGATAAATAAATGTTCCTAAAAGTGGCACAGCAATTGAATTAATGTTTCCTGCTGGGGGCCAGCGAAACACAGCCGATTCGCAGATGTCATGCCGGGCTCAACGGAAACGGAAACAAAGCAGCATCAAAAATGTCATCCGCTGCACTGAGGTCGGCCTCAGTCGGCCTCTGGCACAGCCGGTCAGTAGTGTCATATAAAATATCCATCACAATTATCGGCATCGGAATCAGCACCATCATCATTATCGCCATTGTCCTCATGGCGAGATTATTTTCCATGCTGTTCGCTGGCCCGCTTAATTGATTTTATTCAATTTTTTTTCCGTGTAAATGGCAAAGGAGAAATAATAATCATAATGGCTCTAGTTTCGAGACTAATTAGCGTTCAGAAATAATTGAAATTGTCCATTGTGCCGCTTAAGCGGCAGGATGGCCCCCTAAACAGGAACGGAACTGGTTGCAGTTGCAGCTTTTGCCCCTGATTTATGGGCTCAGAGAGAAAATAATAAAAACAGCCATAAAATATAGGAAAATCACGCAAAATGCGTAAATCAATGTGATTAATTATGAAAATATTTGGCATTCTGCCTTTGATGCGTTCAATGGGGATTTGGCATTTATAAATAAGTATTTATGTTTCGCTCTATTGAATAAATTGAAATTTGTGCAATTTTTTTAAAAACAAACAGAATAGTTGGAAATGTCTTCCTTAGATTTGTTATGTATTGTAATATGCTTAGATTAAAATGTATTAGAGGAACTCTTCTGCGATACTCTCTGCACGAAGAGTCAGCAGTGAGTCCCAATACCATTGCGATTCGAGTCGGTTTAGGCTCTCTTGCTTGGAGTTTCTCTCCAGAAACTCTTCATGGACAATTTTACCCATTCGATAATCATGCTATCAATTTGTGCTATAAATGGCCCTGGTCAGAAAAATATCCACAAAATATCTGCCCCTAGTTAGCACTCACTTGTAGATGTCAGCGAATATGACTCCATCTCATCTGCCGCATATTTATGGGGAAACATTTTTCAATTTTACACCGTTTAGGTCACAACAAATAAAAGAATAAGCAGGAATATAACACATATAGCGATGTGTGCTCGTGTATGGCAATGAAACGGAAGTGAAATTGCAAAATTAATGCCTTTCGTGTAAATATGAGGCATGCATTTTTCATGACAACGTGCCAAAGCTTAAAAAACAAACAACACACGAGAGTGATACACAGGGCCCGAGTGAAAGAGAGAACATTTACGTTAATGGGTCGTGTCTTTATGTCTGGCTGGCTGCTCGTCATTGTGCGAGTATTTATGCATTATTTATATTTGTTTTTATACACTTTGTTATTACTCCTTTCATCATTTATTCAGAAATATTAAAGAATATACACACATTTATGCAACCGAACGAAGCAGCGATCGGCGCCCCTGAATATGCAGCGAATTTTTCCACATTCTCCAGGAGTTAAACTGTGTGCAGGCAGGATTAAGTGAGCTTCTGGTTACATTAGGCCAGAGAACAAATATAGGAATATATTAGTATAGTTTTTGGATTAAAAGTACCACCAGCTAAAGGTCCTAAAGGTATTCTTTGATGATTTATCAGTTTAAGGAAATCTACCATCAAGGATCAATTTTTGGAAAATTCATTTGCGATTAAGTGCCATTAATTGGTTGTTGAAATTGGGGGTTCTTCATATTTTTCTTACAGAGTACCTGGTAGTCGTTTAAAAAACATGCCCAAAATATAATCATATGATATGATAGCTCTGTTGCATAAATGTGTACATATGTTCGTGCCTCTTCCACTGTTTGCTTATAATTCACACATTTTATTTATTTCCCCACCATTTGCCATACTTTTTCTCTATCGATTACCAAATGCGAATGCACGACTACTCGTATGGTGCAGAAAATGTAAAACAAAAGCAAAGGACAGGACAACAATTCGCCTTGCGATACAATTTATTTATTCGCAATTTATTCTTTATGCTATCGCTGTTGTGGAAACTCTTCCTGTTTTTGTTTTTCCCTCTCTATCTTTTTGTTTTCTCTGTTCGCGAATTCGATTGTTTAAAGTGCAATTTTATGATGCGTTAACAGTCTATTACATATGCATATGTAAACCTCCCCCCAAGAGCCACGTAGAACAGACCCCAGCATAGATTTAGTTATTGTTGATTTGTAGATTTGACAATTTGTTGAAGCAGAAACAGAGTCATTTTACAGCACATTTATTGATCAAATGAACCTTATGCTACAACAGTGGTCCGGGGAAGAACAAATTGCATAAAAACACAGAGGAAAAGGTAGTCTTATTAGTGCCCTCCCTACACCTTTCAGTGCAAGGCTTTGGGATAGAAAAACTGACATGTTTCTATAGTGATTTTGTTAATCAAATGTACCTCCAGTCCACAGAAAGAACTGATTCCCAGGCTATCAGCCATTTCTAATTGGAAAAGGAATCAAGAAAGGGGGGCGACTACCTCCCCGACCCAATGTATCCCCCACAGAGATCTGATAATTTGCAACAGTTTTGGGACATACGGCTTAATTGCTTTTTTCCCTTCTATTTTGCATAATTAGAATTTGATAAAATGTTGCAATGCCTTCCAAATGCCCTCCATGCCACGCCCATTGCATGTTGCGTGCAACTACAAAAGTCCGTCTGCTAGTGTGCGTGCTTCCGTGTGTGTGTGTGTGTGTGTGTTCCCTGACTTTCTGTGCAAATTCGATTTTAATAATTGGAATTTATCTCTGATCAAATTTCGTGGTTGCTGAAAATGTGTTCCATACTTCTCAGCTCCACCTCCAGCTCCAGCTCCCATCCCCCCCCCGCCCAGTCGTCGTTCCCCGGCTCCGTCCAGTAAATTAAATTGGTTTTTAATAGGCGAACGATGCGTTTTTGTGTCGAGCATCGATTGGCGCAGATTGATTTGGCAGTTAACAAACATCCCTGGGGGGAGGGGCGGTGGGCGAAAACATCACGAGTGCCGGCTGGAAATTATTTCAGCAATTGCCAAATTGTTTGAGCACTCGTACGCGTACTCGTATCCCTGTCAACGCCCGAGTGTGGGGTTCTCGGTTTAGCTGTCTCTCTGATCGCATTCGGAGCTGACACTCAGACACCCAGCCAATCCAGCCAGTCATCAGCAATTCCTCGCCCGACATTTTCCCCATTCAATT